CTTATTTTTTTAATAAACAGGTTATTAATATAAATAATAGTTTTGCCACAGAGCTATATAAACAATTTTTATTTATTTTTTCCTATAAATGTAAATAATTAAAATATTAGATTTTTATTTCTTCAAAAAAAATTTTAATCTTCAAATTGAAGCTTTAATTAAAGAGGATCTTATAAGTAGATTTTATTGTTAATTAGAATCAAATATAATACAGTATTAGAGACTATAATATAAGAGTCTCTTGTATTATAGTCTCCAATATTGTATTGTATTTGTATTTTATAATATAATATTTCCTTCAACTCTTTCTTGAGAACTCTCTTGAAAAGAGTCCTCAAGAAAGAGTTGAAGGAAATATTTTTGAACTACCTAATTTTGGAATTTATGCAGGTTACACTATCTTATAAGATCATTTAATATCTGTCTCTAAAAATGTTACATTTCTTGAACCGCACAAAACAACTTATGGAGTGTTGTAGAGAGGCTTTTAAGAAGATTCTTATTTCTGAAATCAATAATAGTAAATACTATTCAGTTTTAGCTGATAAAGCATCTGATTGTGCCAATCTTAAACAGTAGTTTATCATTATAAGATATATAGGCAATAACTATAATACTCGTAAAGATTTCTTAAGATTTGTTAACTGTCTTTAATTATTTAAATGTGCCCTTAGTCGGAAAATACAGGCATGTTTAAATAATTATCTTTCTGTTGAAAAAGCAAAGCTAATCAATGTTTGTTTTACTTGTTGGGTTTGAAAATAGAAAAGTCTAGGTATTTTTCTTTTAGTCTCCTCATAGTTGACGTTTGAATTTTATTTAAATGTAACTTTAGTTTTAACCAAAATTTGATGGATTGAATTTTTTATATTGCTACAATTGGTCTAATATTGTTTTTGAATTAGCTCTTACATTAAACGTAAAAGAATAAAAAAAATAGAAAATGTGGAAAGCAAATCAATCATGATAATCACTCATCATCTGATTATTTTAAGCTTTATATCACTTTACCTCTACTGGACCATCTTGTTAATGAACTTATTAATTATATAAAATTTCAAACAGAAAGCAAGTTGGTTTATATGGGATGTTTGCAGTTCCAACTGTCATGTTAAGCTACTTGAAAACTAACTAAGATTTGCAAATCTTTCAGGAGTTTCTAGATATCTATCATTCCAACTCTGCATTCAACCTTTATTTATGCAGAGTTGGATTATGGAAGCCTCTTTAAAAAGATCAGTCAAAACCCCTATCTAGTATTTTATAAACGAAACTCATGACTATGATTTATTTCCCCAACATTCTTGAATATTTTAAAGGTTTAATTTTAGGTACAATACCAAGAGATTAAAAACTTATTCAAGAAGTAGAGTGTTAAAAAAGTCATTGAATGACCTAGCTTTAATGTCAATTTATACCGAAATAGTTCTTGATAAAGACGGTGTTAACAAAAAATTTTCAGCTAATGGAGAGAGATGTTTAAAGTTGCTATTTAAGCCTTAAATAATTAGCTATGATTGAATAATAATTATATTTATATGTGAATAAAATAATTAAATCTCTCTTATATTTACAATCATTTTTTTGTTTTTTTTCATTGTTTAATTTACTCTTAGAGCATCTTTTTTTATTTTTTATAAATATTTAATAAGTAAATTTATTTTCTATTTTGTGTACATTTCATAATCCTTGACATCTAAAATGTAAAATGTTTTAAAAATTGTTCTAAACTAAATAATGTAAACCACTAAATAAAAAATTTAAATATGTGTTTATTTCATTTGAGTATGCTACAAAAAGAGTGCTCGATAATCATAAAAAACAAAGATGTTATAAATTAGTTTCCTGAGGATTCTGTAGATAATGAGACTGTTCAAATCTTTTTTTTTCAGTATATATTTATATATAGTAATATACAACTTTAATATCTTAGTAATATTTAAGTAAATACCTTTTGAATAAATCACGATAGCATATTGTTAATGCAGTGATAGTTGCATTTATTCTATTAGTAACAAAAATATAAAGGAAAGAATCCAGAATTGGAGAGCTAACTTTAGGCAGCATAACAACTTAGGCAGCATAATAACTTTAGGCAGCATAACAACTTAGGCAGCATAACAACATATGGAGTGCAAAGTCCTATGGCTTACCTTCTAGTTGGTGCACTTCGTTAAGTAAATTAGACATGTCTAAATTACGAACAGAATAGCCAAGTCAAATTTTATATTTTACCATTAATTATTTTACTAGAATCCATTAAAAATAAATGAAAGAAATATATGTGCAAAAACTGAATTAAAAATGCTCAGATAAAAAAACTGTCTGGCGGCGTCTAGATGACGTAAATTGTCGGACGTCTTTTTGACGTAGACTAACCGACTTATTAAATAGTTGCAATTATGACGTAATTTTACAAATTTTAGCTACACCTATATAAAACTTTTTAAAATAAATTTGAATTATTTTAAAATTAAATAGCAAAAATTTGCTACAGCATTCCAATATAAAAAATGATGAAATTCACATTAAAGTTGGTGGTGATTATGGTGGTGGATCCTTTAAGATGTGTTATCAAATCGTGAATGTTGATAAGCCGAATGCCAAGAGAAACACTAGTGTTTTTAGTATTTTTGAAGCAAAAGAATACAAACCCAACCTTGCTGTGGGTCTCTCAAGGTTTACACCACAAATTAATCAATTGCAGTTGCTGTGTTGGAAGTAATTTTTATTTTGTCATATTGTTATTATATAATATTAAATAACAGAAGACTCTATTTTTTGGAAAAAAAATATTTTTTGTGAGAAAAAAATAAGACTATTTATCTTTGGCGATTACGAATTTTTATGTTCAGCATATGGAATCACTGTTGCAAATGGTATAAAACAAAATTATAAAGTTTTGCAAAACAACATTTTTTAAGTTGTATTTTTTATATTTTTTAATTGAAATAATAATAATAATAAATAAATTGAAATAATAATAATAATAAATAAATTAAATGAAATAAGATTTATTATACTTCTTTTTATGAAGCATTAATCAATTTAAGAGCTTCTGTCTGTGTGTGTTATAATAATTTTTGTGTGTGTTTGTATATAATTTTTTTATATAGCTGATTGAATTAGAAGAGTTAAGATCTAAAACATTTGAAAAATCACATGGACCACTTGTAAAAAAACTTGATGAAGTTCTATGCGGTCTTCATGTTCAAAGACAAGCTTATCATGGAAAATGTTTTATTGGAAATGTTCATAAAATGTTGAAGGTTTTTCTATACTTATATTAGCATATTTTTCTTAAAAATATCTTCTCAAATACATTAGTTCATAAATACATAGAGGTTATTAAACATTAATTTTGTAAATGTGTTCTAAAATTTATTCTTTATTCATTAGCTAAACAGTATTCTAGATCTTTGTAATTCAATACCTAAAATAGTAAGCGATCTTGGATTTATTGGTATAGATGTTCATAACGAGGCGAAGGTCTTGAGTGAGAAATGTGTTGCTTTGTTCTCCAAATACTCGACATGCTACAACTTTATGAATTCAAGTGAAATATTTAACAAGAATCCATTATCAGAATTAGGTGAGATTACATTTTTTAAATTGTTTTTTATTATGAAAGTTACTGGCATTGAAATTTTTTTTGGCAACGGTGTTCATAATTATTTCTTTGTTTTTTAATTTTTTAGAACGAGCTGTTGATGAATTAATGAGTTACTTTCGTAAAACAAGGCCCAATGAGTCCATTACTCCAAAAATACATTTGTTAGAAAGTCATTGTGTTGATTTTATTAGAATTGGAATTGGGTCTTGATATTTATGGAGAGCAAGTTTTAGAAAGCATGCATGCCGAATTCAACAGTATAAACAGCACATTTTGTCATATGAAAGGAAAGCAAAGACTGAAAAGTATTTTGTCCAATCACTATATCAAAAACTCTCCAGAAGCTTTAATTATTAGACTAACTAAGAAAAGCTTGAAACGTGAAACTTTATAGATGAATTTTAGAATCAAAAAATGTATATTATATAACGATTTAATTTTTAACTGTGTGTGTGTGTGTGTGTGTATATGTGTGTGTTTTCCAATACAATAATTCCTACCGTTTTCTTTAACATCTGGTAATTACATTTAGAAAAATGGAAATTTTATTAAAAAAGCGGATATTTTTTTAACGATAAAAATTCATAAATTACAAAGAAAAAAAAATTACCGGTTTCTCAAAATTGGACATATTCTTTATATACCTAAACTTTAACTCTTAAATATTTCAGGTTTTCACGAAAAATTTATTAAAGTACTTATTTATCAAGAATAATTAGACTTTCATAAAGTTTGTAACTAAAAAAATTGCAATATTCTTGAACTTATAAAAAGTAAGTAAACACTTTTTTTTTATATGTATGTATCTTTTAAAACTAGATCAACTAATAATTTATTAAAATAAAAAAAAATCTAAAAACTTATTTTTATTAAAAAGTATAATAAATTTAGTTATTAAATCTGTGCTTTTTATTTTTTTTTTTTTTGCGTTTTGCTCGCTTTATTGAAAACTTGAACATAAAAATATTTGTTAATGCGCATGCCCAGAATTAAGTTCCATTACGAAACCGCCGTGGAGCCGGGGATCGAGCAGCTATGGCCATGCTGGAAACCCAATAGTGGATTATTGTCAAATAAATTAAAATAACACTTAATAAAAATAAATTAAATAAAATATTCTTAAACATTTCAAAAAATAAATACAAAGCATTTTTCGATAATATTCTACTTGATAAAACATAATAATTATGATCAGTGATAATACATTACCTTGTGATTCTTTTGACTTTAATGATTCTACATAATCATCTATATGATTGTAAAACAATCTACTGCATATCAGTAAAAAAACGTGCATATGAAATGTGTAAAAAGTTTAAACAAGTGATGTGAAAACATTTAGATATGTAAATAATGGATTTATATATTTTGAAGAAAAAGAAACTAATAAAATTATTTCATTTTTTTATTTGTAACAGGAGATTTTTTGTGCAGATCTTGTGACAAATGCGTAGATTTATTGTTTTCTTGTAATAAAGATTCTTTAACACTCCAGAATGGTGGACTGGCGTCGTTTTGCTGTTTTACCGGTACCCATGCTCGTTTCTCGTGAGATTTTACGATAGCATCCAATACCGCACGAGTGTGACATCCTATAAATATAAGTCAATCTAAAAAATTAAAATTAAAATACTTTAAACAATTAAAGATTCTTTAAGTATTTTTATTCTTAATTTTCTTCAATACCATATTTTCTTTCTTCATTACTGTTTTTTATTTTTCCTTTCATTAATACCATCAATAACAAAAAATATGCACACAAATAAGTACAGTTTTTTTTAAATGCTCAAGACAACACAAGATTTTCTTTTTCTTGTCTGCCATCAAAATATCTTCTACATAAAAAAGGTTTTTAGTATTCTCGCACATAATTAATAAACTTTTTTTCTTTAAGAAAAACAAAAACACAAAAAAAAACAAAACAAGGATAGCAGAGTATTATATGAAATAGTTTAACTATAAAATTGGAAAAAGTAAAATAAAGTTTTTTGGGAAAAATAAGAGTTTATTAAGATTTATTACAAATAACTAAATGGAAAAAAAAAACAAAGAAAAATAATTACACCAATAAAAATTTATATGTAAAATTAAACCTAAATAAAATTCCTAAAGCTTTAAAACACACACACAAAAAAAAAACACACAAAAAAAAAACAGAGATTGCAGAAAACTTTTCAAGAATTATATGAAGTAGTTTAACTATAAAGTTGGAAAAAGCATTTTCAAAAAGCATTAATATATTAATATTAATACTATATATAGTTACATTATAGCTATATTTATACTATATAATGAAAACAACAATATTAAAATAATATATTATATATAATATATTATTTTAATATTATTATAAACAACATAATATATGCCATATAAAAAATGAGATATATTAACCTTATCTAATCTTATTATGAAAAAGTTGTAATATTGTATACTACCCATTAGCCTTACTAATTTTAATTTAAATTAAGAAAGATAAAAATTAATAATTATAAAATTTCAAACAAAATAGCTTCAATAAATAATTTCAAACAAAGTAGTTGCAAATTAGATTTCAAATAAAAAAAGATGGAAAAATAATTGTAAAAAATTTATGAGCAGCTGAACAAAAAAGAAAAAAACTGATAAATACTATCGCAACCAAATCTAAAAATTTTGGTGATTTAAAAAAAAAGTAGTTTTAAGATATAATCAATTACAATTTTTTAAGATATAAAATAAAATGATAGTTAGAGATTAATATTGTATTTATTTGTGTATGTATGTATGTATGTATTTAAGGGATGAAGTAAATGGGCCATGTGTGGCTATTTATACCGAATATATATGTTAGCTACATATGGTCCACATACTTATAGGACTTGAGTATTATAAATACCAAAAATATACATGCCATTCCCTAAATTGAGTGTGGCATTCACATGTGCTCGCATTAATTTCTAGTTGGGATATATATATATATATATATATATATATATATATATATATATATATATATATATATATATATATATATATATATATATATATATATATATATATATATATATATATATATATATATATATATAATTATTATATTCAGAAATAGGACAATATCAATAAAAATTCCCAATATTTTATTCCACCACATTTTTATAAATCTCTCTATATAATAATGATTAGGAGGGATGAAATTTTTAATTTACAAAATACTATACCACTACATTTTTTTCTCCACTTCGAATACATTTAAGAAGATGTAATTATTTATTAATTTTTTTATTAGAAGATATAACTTAATAAAACCATACCATTTTCAAAATTTGCAGCGGTGGAAATTAAATTGTGATCTGCATTTCTTCTATCGGCACTAACTGAACTATCTTGCATACTTTCAAATGCCATTTTAACTCCTTCAATAAGTTGTTCAAGACCGAATAAGTACATTCCAGGAACTAAATCCTGGAATGAATCGTATAAAGATCCATTTTCATATTCTTCCATATAGAGACTTTCTACTTCACTGCTTCCTTTAGTTTGTCCATATAAATTACAATTTACTATTTTTAAAAAACCTTTTTTACCAATAAGCATAAGTTCTTGTAGAAACCCACTTGGAAGATGAGAATTTAGTGTCACACATGCTTGAACATCATTTGGATATTTTAATTGAAAAGAGCAAAAGTCATCACTTGATATATGTCGAAACATAGGCATATCATCCCGTTGTTTTGTAAATGTTTCTAATGTTCCTTGAACCTCAATCGCTCTTTTGTCAGTCAAAAATGCTAAAATATCAATGATATGTGAACCATAGGTTTGCAGCATACCCCCTCCCATAGATCCATCACATTGCCAGTCATAGTTTTGTTTAACTAACGATGTAGTATGAATGCTGCATTCACATACTATCAAGTCTCCACAATAACCACTTGAAAGTAATTTTTTAGCTTCAATAAAAGCAGCAAGGAAACGCAAAGGATGATTTAAAACAGACAGTAGTTTTGGATAATATTGGGCAGCTTCTAACATTTGGTTTGCATCCTTTAAAGTAAGACCAGCAGGAATTGAGCTGAACACATGTTTTCCAATTGACAATGCTTTTACACAAACTTGTGCGTACTGATGTGGTGTACCTGACACACAAACAATATCCACTTCATTATGAAGAAGAAGCTCATCAATTTTTGTTGTATAAAATGATATTTTTAATTCATTTGCTAAACTTTTAGCTTTTTCTAATGTCTGACCCCATACAGCTGTTACAGGAAACCCTGCAGCTTTAAATAGTGATATAATTATTTGTGCATGACTGTCAGTACCAAATATTCCAACAGAAGGGAGCATAATCTAAATAAATATTAAAAATTTAAACAAATTTCTATGTTTTATAAACAATAAAACGTTATCCATTACAGAAGAAAATAATATATAAAAAGCATTTTAGAAAAGTGATCAACACCTTATATATAGAATGTCATAAAAATAATTTTTACAACTAATTTTTCACATTAGCACTAAACTTTCTTATATGAAAAGAAGGCTATTAGTAACTTAAAAAGTAAAAAAAAAATTTTAATGATTTTGTTTTGTTATATTTTGTTTATTTTTAAATAAAATTATTTATGATGATAAACTGATCCTATTTAAAGGGAAGATAAGGCTCTTCAAGCACGACAACATAATTGACTGCAAAAACTTTGGGATGTGCATAAAAAAGTGCTTACCAAACAACTCCAAGCATTTTGTTTTAAATTGCAATAAAACTTTTTTATTCATTTGCGCAACTGTTATAAAAAATTGCTTTTTTCTACCAGCTTTTTTTTTAAATTATTTTATTTAGTATTTATTCAGAGTTTTCTTTTTGCTATCTTTATTTTAACTTAAATATCAGAAAAAAATAAACTTTTTAAAATGCACAGGCCATCATTTAAAACGCACATGACCATCCTATCAGCGCTTTTTTAGACGCTGACATTAAATATCAAATCCAAAAGACTGTTATACATATTAAAAGAGGTAACCCACTGTTTTAGAGTGGTAGCCCTCCTATCAAATAACTTGAAGTTGGTGTATTAATGAGAGTTAATTTGGTTTGGTTTCACTTTTGAAATGCAACCAAAAAATTCTGACATAAATGTGTTATTACAAGAAATGCAAGAAAAAATAAAGCAATTGAAAAAAAAAAAAAAAAACTTGAAAGATGTTTTGATACATAATCGTGAAGGAAGGGTAAACGAATCAGAAAATAAATTATACCACAAAAATAAATGATAATTATTTAAATTTTCTAGTCTTAAATTTGTCTTTTGATAAATCAAAAGATCGAAATAATTAGAGAGAAGTCATAAAAAAGATGAAGAGAAAAAGATAAGGACATGGTTCTACTTGAGGAAAAAGAACGTAATAAAAAAATGATATTATATTTGGTTTTGAATTAGCAAATCATAATAATATTGACAAGAAAAAATCTGATGAAGATATAGTAAAAAAAAAAAAGATGAAGATATGGTAAAAAATATTTTTGACTCAAAAAATGCAGACAAGAATAAAATAAAAAAACTCAAAACAAGAGACACGTCAAAAATACCACCAGTTAGATACCATTGAGTTAGACAATGTGTCAGACAAAATAAGTATAATAAAAGCTGTATACATGACGAATGTTACAAAATCTTTGTAAATAAATATCACAAACTGTCTTATAGTTATATACCTAAAAAAGTCCATAAGCACATAGCTTTAAAACCATAGATTCAATAAAAAAAAGAAGACCGAAATCAGACGTATAACAACCTTAAGTAACAAATTAATATCAAATAAATTGAAGTCACCAATTTTGGTTCAACAATACAAAATACAAAGTAAATTAGTTAAAAACATGGTGAAGTTAAAACGTATTGAATATGAAATAAGAAAAAGTGAAACATCAAAAAAAGATCCCAAATAATTTTATAGATATGTTAATTCTAACAAAAAAGTTAAAGGAGTAATAGTTTCAACGTCTCAAGAATATCACTGTAATATAATAACAGTGTAACAAATAAAGAATTTATAGCAAATATTTTAAACAATAGTTTTACATCAGATTTTGTTAATGAAGATGAGCATAACATTTTAATTATGCTGCAAAAGACTAAAAATATTCTAGAAGTTGATATAAACAATATAAAAACTCACCATACTATTGAAAATAAATTTAAAAAATCAGATGTTTACAAAGTGTTTAAGACCACTTCAGTTTTAAGACCACTGCAGTTTTTGATTTTCATTAAGGATTTGCCAGATTAGTCAAAAATCCTATCAAACTTTATACTGATGATAGAAAAATAAAAATTATAAAAAATCCAAATGATTTAATAGGCCTTCAAAATTATAAAAATAATATAATGGCATGGTCATCTACCTGGCTCACAAAATTTAATTATAAAAAATGAAAAACTATGCACAGAAGCTAAACACAATTTAGGTATAATGGTTTAATTGGATCTAAAATGGCACTTACAAGTTGATTCAGAAACTAGCAAAACAAATAGAATGTTATGTATCATAAAGAGAACATTTAAATATTTAGATGTAAACATAGTAAAAAAACTCTACAAAACATTCACACATCCACATCTAGAGTTTGCGGTCCAGGCATGGCCTCCATTCCTTCAACAAGACAGACAAAATAGAGATGATCCAAAAAAGAGCAACTAAACTAGCACCTAAAATTAAAAAGTTACCTATGAAGCTAGGTTGAATATTATGCAATTAATAACATATATTACGTGGAGATCTTATTCAACACTTTTAAATTTAATATGGCCATGAAAAAATAAATTGGATTCCAAACAATTATCAAAATGCAACAAATAAAGATCCGCATTTTTGACAACACAAATTTAAAACAAAAAACTCTTTTTGCAGATATACATTTACGTATCACTTTTTCCACAATCAAGCTGTAAATGCATGGAATAACTTACCATCTGAAATAGCAGAAGCTGCTTCAATAAATAACTTCAAAAATAAATTTGACAAATCTGAATTTTGTAGAAACTATTTGTTAAAACATAAGCAAGTCAATTTTGAAAAAGTGATATCTGAAGGTGTTTTTGCAAAAAAGTTTTTTCATTTTGAATTTGTGTTGTCGTAAATACGGACCATCTTTTGATGTGTTTTGATAATTGTTTGTAACCCAATTATTTTTATCATGTCATGTTCATGAAATTCAACATGCCATACTGAATTTTAAAATGTTGAATAAGATCTCCACTAGTTAACGTTTTTCTAGAGTTGTTAATTGCATAATAATTAACCTAGCTTCATAAGGTATTTTTTTAGTTATAGGTGCTAGTTTGTTCTTTTTTGGATCATCTCAATCGTATCTATGTTTTATTGTGGGAATGGAGACCCTGTTTGTACTGCAAACTCAAGAAGTGGACATATGAATGTTGTATAAAGCTTCTTTATTATTTTTACATCTAAATATTTAAATGTTCTTTTTATGATACCTAACATTCTATTGGCTTTGTTAGTTACTGAATTAACTTGTAAGTGCCATTTTAGATTCGATTGAACCATTTTACTTAAATCACATTCAGCTTTTGTGTTACATAATTTATAATTGTAATTGCAATCAATTTCAGTCATTATAAATGTAGCATTTAGATTTTTTTTCCGATATGCATAATTTTACATTTATATATATATATATATATATATATATATATATATATATATATATATATATATATATATATATATATATATATATATATATATATATATATATATATATATATATATATTTATATATATATATATATATATATATATATATATATATTTATATATATATATATATATATATATATATATATATATATATATATATATATATATATATATATATATATATATATATATATATATATATATATATATATATATATTATACAGAAAAAACGCTTTAATAACTCTTGTTTTATTGCGTTAATAAATTTAACTATATTATAACTAATATATTATGGTTAATGCAAAAGAATTCAAAGACGCTCTGGATGCACTGGAGAGTAAACTAAGAATTGAATATGAATCAAAGATTAGTAATGCTGTAGCAGATTTGAAAAAAACAATACAATCATTAGTATTAACAGTTGCTGATTTAACTAAAAAGAATGAAAATTTAAACAACAAAGTTGTAAATGTTATTGTTCCTGCTGTGAATGAAGCTTGGAATATTGTAACAACTAGAAAATTAAATAAAACTCCATCTCAGATTGATATTATTAGTACAGTTTTGAATGAAAATAAAGAAATTGAACGAAGAGAGAAGAACATAATTATATTTGGTTTAGAAGAATCCAATAAAACTGATGGCGCAGATATAAAGAAAGATGACGAAAACAAAGTATTAGATTTATTGGATCAAGTATCAATAGATAAACTTCATATGGTTCGTATTTTTAGATTAAAATCTAAAAATGGTATTGCACCAGTAATTGTTGAGTTAAAAAATAAGGACACGAGAAATGACTTTATAAAAAAATCATACCGTAAGTTTAATGATATTTATGCAAATCCTGATTTAACTGATGCTCAGAGAAACTTGGATAAACAACTCAGGGATAAATGTAGAAAATTAAATAAACCACTCAACCTCAAAGTCGATTGGGACCAAGTTAAAAGCTATCACGTAATTAGAAATAAACAAGTAGTGTTGATAAACAAATAACAATGGTTGTTCAAGTCATCACAGTATAACACACATAATTTTAAACATTCTTTACATACACCTTGTCAATATCTATATAACCAATTAAATAATCCTGATGCAGACAATGGAGCAAGTAATCATTTGAATTCAGGTGCTAATACACTGCTGGTAAAGAAAATAAAATCAAGACCTTCGAAAAGG